TTGGTTTTATACCGGTCGGCCGGATATAATTCTTAAACTAAAATTACGCGCGGTCTTTGCCGTCTTACCGAGCCTGTATCCTTTAATAATACGCAAAATTCTAAATGTAATTAGCCGCACGGGCTTTTAACGCAACTGAATATTATATCTCTAACGAGTCGTAAAGCTACACCGTAAATATTATCTTAGGGAAACTAAAACGTGAATGTCTTTTTAATGAAAATCAAGCGAAATCAACTATGTATAACCATTTTGGCAAGAAAGTTATCAACATAAAAATGAAACAAAATAAATGTGTATTCAATGTATATATGGCCGTTATCGTCAGTCGACGAGCCGTCTTTCCCTACTTCGGCTCCCAAGCCTCGTCGTCGTCGCTCTCGCTCTCTCCCAACGGTGACTCGAAGTCATCGGAAGGCTGATCCACCGGACCGATCGGGAAGTCGTATCCCACGAATTCCGCGATCGCGTCTATTAGAGGAGGAGGCGCGGGAGTCGTTATGGGGAGCTGTAATGCCGACATTAACGGCGTAGGCGGCATACTTGGGAGTTTGGTCTCCCGTGGTGCAGATGCCGCTGCTGGTCTGCCCTGAGGCGGCTGCGCTTCCGCTACCGCTCGTTCCGCCTGTGCCGCGCGTGGCTCCGCAACGGGTAGTCTCCGCAATATTACCCGGGGTGACCGTTTGGTCAAGCGACGCGGCTGTTGGGAAGTGCCCGGTCGCAAGGTTAGGTTGTAGCCGGACGGAGGATCGACATTAACCACACGCCCTCGAGATCATTAATTATCACGGTCGCCACTCGATTTTAACCTCGGCCTATCGAGAAAGATACTAATGAATGACCAACCTTTCGCTGACTTTGCTAATTCCCCTCTCTACGACTCTGTTTCAGCTCCCATCTGTCTCCGGATCGACCCGCTGGACCTGTTGGACCTCTCCGCTCAAGGGACTTCCTTCGCTTCTGCTGGACAGCACCGCTTGGCTGGGCCTCAGCCTCTGTGCGTGTTCGTCGATGGAGGATTTCGGGCGGCCGACAGGCAAGATTACGATTGGGATAGATAAGCCTTTGCAGGTTGTCTCGATCGAATAATTGTCACACGTAATTTCCGTAACCAAAGGTAAAATATAATTTATTTCTCTTTGTTCTATAGCTACGTTACATGGACTCGCGGAATTACGCACCGTTGAGCGGGATTGTTCTCGCTCTCGCTCGTTGTTAGCGCACGCGTTGAGATTAATTTATCTATCTTACGCCGATGCTCCTGACTACAGGAAGCCAACACAATACGCTAAGTTGGAATTTAGGAAGTGAGACGAGTTCCTCGATGCGAGACCGTTCGCATCGAGAGCCGAGAGACGAATCCTCGATTCCTCGGCTCGGCTGGCCTACCTCGATCGAGTGGGGATCGCCCCACTTGTCGCTATCGCCCGACACCTGTGCCTACGAACGACAGCTGTGTCAATAGCCTCGTGAATGGCCTTATTGTTCGCGCGTCAACACCTTTTGTTCACAGCCGTACATCTGGCCAACATCTGTATACCTCGCTACGCAGTAGCGCAAATACTTCCGCATTCCGCTCGCTTTCACTTTTCGCACAAACATGTTTACGCTCGCCCGTAACCATTCAATGGGTCGAGTCTTGGAACAATCCAGAAAGTTTTACATGTTTCTGCTCGCCGAGCGCTATGATTCCCTATGCTAAATCTTATCGCGGGTTCGTCCTTGCGGTTACGCTTCGCCTCCACCTCGGGTTGCCTCCTTCGCTTCGCCGCGCTCGGAACCCATCGGTAATTGATGGATCGACTACGCGGCGTTTCCGCATTACGCTCTTACGTCGATAATCCGATCCTGCCTACGGTCGGCTATTTCGCTTTACCGCGCTCGGATTGAATCGAAACTCGCCGGATACATTACGCGGCACTTCCGTCTTGCATAGCTAGATCGGCAATCCCATTCCGCTGTCGGTCAGCTATTTCGTTTTCCCGCGCTCGGATCGCGGCGAAACTCGCTAAATGGATTATGTTGGATTTACGCGTCATGCTCCTATATCGGTGAGCCGATTTTGCCATCGGTTAGCGATTTCACCCTACCGCGCTCGGAACTCATCATAACTCGCTGAGCGGAATACTCGGTGTCTATGCATCGCGCTCCTAGGTTGCCGCGCCGATCCCGTTATCGGTCGGCCAAATTGCACTACCGCGCTCGAAACTCATCGCAACTCGCTGAGTGGAATACGCGGCGTCTATGCATCGCGCTCCTAGGTTGCTGCGCCGATCCCGTTATCGGTCGGCCAAATCGCCCTACCGCGCTCGAAACTCATCGCAACGCGCTGAGTGGAATACGCGGCATTTATGCATCGCGCTCCTCGTTTGCTGAGCCTATCCCGTTGTCGGTCGGCTGATTCGCACTGCCGCGCTCGAAACCCATCGCAACGCGCTGAGTGTATGCGCGGCACCTGTGCATCACGTTCCTACGTTGCTGACCCGGGCCCGTTGTCGGTTTGCAAGTTCGCGCTATCGCGCTCGGTACTTATCATAACCCGCTGAGTAAAGTCCGCGGCTTTCGTGCATCATTCTCCTAAGCTGCTGACCCGGTCCCGTGGTCGGTTCGCCAGTTCGCACTATCGCGCTCGGAACTCATCGTAACCTGCTACCATAACCTCGCGCTCGTTCCCTTATCCCCGCGGAACAAGTTATTACCGGACAGCAAACTCAACCTTTGTTTGCTGTCGCGCGATGCGTCCTCATGCTCTTGCATCCGCGTATGCGGTTAATAATCGTAACGGAACAAAGAAGAACTAAACAAAATACTAATTGGCTGGATCGCCACTTAACCCCTTCCCCTTACACGGCTGTAGCCAAATCAATCCTGCTTATCGGGGTTTTACACTTATCCTAGTTTCGATTTACTTATACCTAAATGACAAACGCTCGCGTCTAATTTTTATGCTGACGGAGTCATTGCGTTCCTTTTTATTTTATACATATATATATGTATAATCTACATATTAAATTGTCTATGTACATTGGTGGAGTCCTGGATCTCTACACCGGACCACTAAGCGCTTTGCACTTATTCGCTCGATGTCGCGGCGGCCGTTGCCTCGGCTTCCGACGTCCTCCGCGTCTGGTGCGTAGCCTCCTGGCTGCTCGTCCCCGGCTGTTCACCCCGTGAACGTCTGTCGGTCGTTCCGGTTCGCTGGCGTTGCAGCTGGATTATGGGGTGCTTAGCCGGCACCGGCTTGGTTGCCCATACCCCTTTACCGATGTAGTACGCATCGGTCAACGCCGCCCCGGTCCTCGGCGAGATCGTGATGCCTCTGGCTGCGTCTGGTGGGTCGCGGTCATCGGACGGCTGCAAGGTTAGGTTAGGTTCCCTCTCGTGGCATGCCACCTTGACGTGGTGAGAGGGCTCCCTGTACCAACGATCCACTGAGGCAATACCTTCGATCATGCCGAAGGGAGGGCTCGGTGGGGAGGTACAGGGTCTAAGAGCATGCCGTGCCCCCTCCTCTCGACTTGTCGAGACCTGGGGACACAATAGGGTCCGGCGCCCCTGTCGGGGAACTTGTTCCCTGACTCTAAAGCGTCGGTAGGGGAAGGCGACCCTGACTACAAACGCCCGGTCGGCTGGGACCGAGAGGGAGGAGTTTCTACTCCTCCCACCGGCCTAGAGAAAGGAAAACCTCGATAAAAAACCACGGGGTTGGGGGGTTCCTCCTCGGCCATTGCACGCCGGTGCTCCGGTTACTGACTTCAAAAAATGCTAACACTTTATTAACAAGATGTTCCAATGAAAATGTACAAATGACTACATCCAGTGACAGTGAAATACAAAGTCCTGCATCAAATAAAAGGAAACGTCCATTGCACGAAACTGGATCTAATATAGCAAAGACAAAAGTTGAAATTGAAAACCAATGGTTGGAATATATAAAAACAAAAACTGAACGTGACAAACTCAACGATGAAAAACATGCAGCAACTTTTGAGCAAAAAAAAGAAATATTAAAATTAAAAAAAACGTATTACTTTAAAAGAAAAGAAAATTGAACAACAAAAAGAATATTTTGCAGCAAAATTAAGAGAAAAAGAAAATAGACATGCACAACTAATGGAAATAGAAAAAGAAAAATACAAACTTTTAAAAAAATTAATTAAAAATGAAATTTCAGATTCTGAATAATTTTTAAAAACTTACACAGTTTTTGTGCAATTATAATTATTCATACAGTAAAATATAAATTTAAATGTAAATTGCATATTATTCTATATACAAATTCGTTATTTTTTGTATGTAATTTATATATTATATAAAATACTTAATTATTTCTTTTATTGTATGGATAAAAAAATATTAATATAATTTTTATTTTAAAAACTGTTATTTTAAAATATGTAACGCCAAAGTTTTTTTTTTTTTTTAAGTTTAATAATTTTTATTGGACTTATGTATTTGCTCATTTATTTAATATATCTACAGTAGTATTCTAACAAAATATATGATTCAAAATAAATAAACATACAGTAATATAATTTTATTTTTGGCGTAAAAAGAAATGAAAACTAATTTTTTATTTTCATGAAACTAACATTTAAATAATTAAAGTTAAAACTATAACTAAATGATTATAAAGTTTAAAGATAATTACATATTGAGTATTTTAGATATAAGAAGTCTTTACATATAAGATGTGTTTCCATACTCATTTTTAGCACTGAAAATATATAGTATGACATATAAACTGTTAACTAAATTGTTAATAGAGAAAGTGAGTATGGGACGCACATATAAAGTGTTCATTATTGTGATAATAGCGGTAAAGTAAATTGATGAAATACAAATAAGCATAAATGTTACTATAAGTTGTTATTACAAAGAAATATATAAAAATAATATTATTAGAAAACATGTATTTTAATTTATTTAAAAAAAATCCAATTTTTGTAAGCTATACAAATATTAAGTAATAAATTATTGTAATTATGACTGTTATTTTTTTAGTTTATAGGAAATATCTCATTAAACAACTGCATCCTACGGTCTAGTTCTTGATTAAAATTATTAAGTTCTTCGTTATTATTTTCAATGTTTATAAAATCGTCGACATATTCAGAAAAATCATATAAATCATTTTTACCAATGCAATAATTATGTAGTATACAAGCCGCAACTACTGTATTAGTAATAAAAGATATGTCACGATATTCAGTAAAGAATTTAATGCGACGAAAACGCCCTTTTAATTGCCCGAACAGTCTTTCGACAACTATTCGTGTAGATGAATGCATAAAATTAAATTCCCTCTGTTGAGGTGACAAATGCCCGTTATCTCGAAACGGTGGAACAAGCCATTGTAAACATAGATATGCCGAATCACCTAATAGAAATGTTTGGCCAGGAAATAACATTTCTTTATCCATACTAGCTGTTTCATATAAAGATGATCTTCGGAAGACCCGCGCGTCATGAAGCGAACCAGGTTCACCGCAATATATATTAGTGAAAAGCATATCTGCATCTACAACAGCTTGTAAATTTATTGAAAAAAATTTTTTTCGATTACAATAATTACGTGCATTACTGCTAGGTTTCAGAATTTGAATGTGAGTCGAATCTATCGCTCCTAAAATATTACGAATTCCTTGTTTTCTGTTAAATTTTTCACATACCATTATAATCTCATTTTCTTGTGGCCATTTTATAATTATATCTTTTTTTGTTAAAAACCAAGCTATAATTCGTCGAAGAACTCTAAAAACAGAAGAAATTGAAACATTAAATCTATCAGACATTGTTCGAAGTGGTTCTGTATTCGCAATATACCACAAAAAAATTAAAAAACTAAGTTTTGCCGATATTAATTTAACGCCAAAAGAATGTGATGGAATATAATGCGAGACTTTCAATTCTTCAATTAAAATCAATGCTGTACGTCGATTTAAACGTAAATGTTCTTTAAATTCCTGGTCTGTCCAAGAATCAACAACTCGAAGATAATCTTCAACGCGATGTCTTTTCCGACCATTCATCAAATTATTAAGCAAAAGGAATAATAATACATCTTCATTTTCCTCTTCATTATTTGAAGATGTACTACTACTACTTGTACTGCTGTTGAGTATACTTAATTCATCACTCGATGAACTCTCATTATTTACAGTTTCCATCAGTTGAATAATTATTTTATGTTTCTTAATATTCATCTGTAAAAAAGATTATAAAAGTTTCATAAAAGTGCTTTAGAATTATGTTTATAATTTATGTAACATTTATTATATATAATATTAAATATAACCTTTTTTTTATATAATTACTTACAATAAATGATTAATTTGCCAATATCCAATATCTTACAATATTTACACTGACTATAGACAATATTTACAATGACAATATATTTTTAATATATTTACAATATATTAAAAAATAAGAAACTGCTGATTTATGCCAAAGTGTACGATGTAATATAACCTTATAATGATACAGGATACAGTAGTGATGATTCATAAGTAAGGTTAAGATCTAGAAGAAAAAAGCTTACATCAGCGCAAACTAGTGAGTACATCGAAAATTAGATTGTTCCAGTAAGCACCCTTACACTGTGTTCAATTGTGTGACACAGTGTCTTTCTGTGTCTCTTTGCTGGAAAGCACCCTATGAGGAGCTCTTCAAGGAGGCAAGGAGCAGCATCAACCTCGCCGAACTCGGCATAACGAAGGGTCTGAAGCCAAAGAGAGCCATAACCGGGGGTCTTATCATCGAGATCCCCGGAACGGGCAACTCTGATAAGGCGGACAGTTTGGCGGAACGGCTGACCCGACTGTTCGAGGGGAGACCCGACGTAAAGGTATCCAGACCTATGAAGACCGCGGAGATCAGGGTCCTCGATCTGGACGACTCGGTCTCCGCGGAGAGTCTGACAGAGGCCATCGCGGAAATGGGTAGCTGCTCACCGGCTCAGATACAGGTGGGCCAACTGAGCAGAGGCCCAAATGGTCTGTACACGGCGTGGGCGAGGTGCCCATTGGGAGTAATGCGAAACATCCGAGAGGCCGATAACAAACTGCGGATCGGATGGTTCGTGGCCCGGGTGAGGGAGCTGCCCGCGAGGCTCCTCCAGTTCTTTAAATGCCTGGAGGGGGGTCACGTGAGGGCTCAGTGCCCCAGTGATGTGGACCGCAGTGAAAGGTGTTACAGGTGTGGGGGCATTGAGCACCGCGCCAGGAACTGTCGCGAGAAACCAAACTGCCCAGTGTGCGCAGATTTGGGACGACGCGCGGATCACCGAGCCGGGGGCAGGGCGTGCTCCTCGGCAAAGAAAAAGAAGAGGCCTCGGGCCTTGCCCACGCCTGCCACTCAGCGACCTCCAGCCCGAAGGAGGGAGAGGAGTGGGGAGCCCATGGTCGTGGTCGAGGAATCTGTGGCTCCCGTCGGAAAGGGACCTAGGATCACTGCTTTTGAGACAGTGAGTCTGAAGATTACCGGCAAACAAGCTGTCAAGAGAACAGCTGATTTTGCCGGAAGCAACGACAACGTTGCTAAAAATGAAGAAGGAGGGTCGATGCCCAAGGCCCAAAGGAAGAGAGGGAGCAAGGTAAAGAAAGCTGCGGAAATCGTAACGCAGACAGATACTCCGGAGCTCATCCCCACGATTGAGACGGCTGAGCAATCTGGGAAGGAGAAAGACATGGACACAAATGCGCCAGCGCAGGAGACCCCACCGACGGCGCAGATCCAAGCGACAACGCAAGAGGAGGAGTCGGGGCTAACAACAACAACGACTACGGCTGACAACAGGCCAGCCAAAAGCAAGGAAGATGCGGAGGACATGTGGGGAAATGAAACGTACTAATGCCTCCGCACCGGATACTCCAGGCAAATTTGAATCGCAGCCCCGCTTCGCAGGACGTGTTTTTGCACACCATGGCGAAGCGGGGCTGTGGCCTGGGAGTAGCCGCCGAGCCGCACCAGGTGCCGCGCGATCACTCGCTGTGGGCGGGCAGTAGGTGCGGTCTGGCGGCGATTACATGGAGGCGGATGGCCGGGCCCGTTCCCTGCTCGAAGTTCGAGGCGGGGGACGGATTCGTCGTTGTCAAATGGGGTCGCGTGTACGTGGCGAGTGTCTACGTTTCGCCAAACGTGGACGTGGCTGAATACGAGGAGGTACTGGCGGACCTTAGGGCCTGCATCTCCAGGATCCCACTAAGCTCAACGTCAGATAATCGTGGCCGGGGACTTCAACGCGAAATCCGCGTTGTGGGGCTCCCCGGTCACCGACAGACGGGGCAGGATCCTGGAGACATGGGCGGCGGGCCTGGATCTGGTCATAGTTAACTCCGGGCAAGCGCGGACCTGTGTGAGGCGGCAGGGGGGATCAATAATTGACCTCACGTGGGCCAGCCCCTCTGTCGCCTGCAGGATAGAGGGCTGGAGGGTGGCCGAGGAGACGGAGTCACTCTCTGATCACCTGTTCATAGAGATGTCTCTCTCGGTCATCCCGCCGGAGGTCCAGGCCCGCCAAAGGGAAGCGGAATCACGTTTCCCCAGGTGGGCGCTGAGGAAGCTAGATGCGGATATGCTCAGGGCGGCCATGTGCGTGTCGCTTTGGGCGGTGGATCTGGCAGCTTCCTCAGAAGAAGTTGACGAGGTCGCTGGCTGGATCGGGGAATTAATGGCGGCTGCGTGCGACGCCGCCGTGCCCCGTGTGAAGCCAATGGTGAGAAAGGCGGCCTACTGGTGGACGGAGGAGATTGCTGAGCTGCGGCGCTTCTCTGTCCGGGCCAGACGCCGCTGGCTGAGGGCTAGACGCAGCCAGAACCAGCGACGATTAGACGAGACGGGAGTGGAGTACCGCTCCGCCAAGCGGCTCTACTCCTGGGCCATTAAGCAGACCAAGGACAAGTCCTGGCAGGAACTCCTGACGGCCCTGGACGAGGATCCGTGGGGGCGTCCCTACCGCATGGTTTTGAACAAGCTGCGGACTTGGGCGCCCCCGGTAATGGAGTCCATGGACCCCGGATTCTTGGAGCAGGTGGTGAGTAACCTCTTCCCGGATGACCCCGAGGAGAGGGCTCACGGAGGTCCTCCCCCACCAATAGTGGACGGGTGGGATGAGGACGAATCCGGGGTGTCCATGGACAAAATGAGAAGAGCCGCCCGCAAATTAAAGGCGGGTAAGGCTCCAGGGCCGAATGGGGTGCCAGGAAAAGCTTGGATGTTGGCCTCGGGAGAACTGGCCGAGCATTTGCGTAAGGTATACAGCAAGTGCCTCAGACAAGGCCGGTTCCCCAGGGCGTCGAAGCGAGCTAGATTGGTCTTCCTCCCAAAACCAGGGAAACCCGCCGACCAGCCGTCGGCGTATAGGCCAATTTGCCTGCTGGACGAAGTCGGAAAGTTATTTGAGCGAATTATCGCCGACCGACTAGTCCAGCACCTGTCCCGGATTGGGCCCGACTTATCTGAGGCCCAGTACGGCTTTCGGGAGGGTCGTTCGACGATCGATGCGATCAGACGCATCGAGACCCTCCTGAAGGCTGCGGTGGAGGCTGGCAGGGTGTTGCTCGGCGTCAGTTTTGACGTGGCTAATGCGTTCAACACCCTGCCATGGTCGGTAATTAGGGAGGCCCTCCTATACCACGGGGTGCCTCCCTATCTAATAGCCGTATTATACGACTATCTCCGGGACAGGGAATTGGTCTATGCGGAACAGGAAGGCGTGGTCCGTGTAAGGCTGGTCGTGCGGGGGGTTCCGCAGGGGTCGGTGCTTGGCCCGCTCCTGTGGAACATAGGATATGACTACATCCTACGCATCGCCCTTCTTCCGGGAAGTTGGCTCAACGGCTTTGCCGATGACACATTCCTGGGAGTAGAGGGCGACAATTGGGGGGAAGCGCTAGCTCTCGGTAATGTCGCAGTGGCGGCAGTCGTGGCCGCGATGAAAAGGTTGGGCCTAAAGGTGGCTCCCCAGAAGACGCAGGTTGTCTTATTTCACGACAAGTCCAAGGGGAGACTACCGAGGGCCCATATCACGGTCGAGGGGATCCGAGTCGCCGTGGGGTCCAGCATGAAACTGCTGGGCCTCTGGCTGAATGAAACCTGGAGTTTCGGCGAGCACTTCGCTCGCCTGACTCCCAAGGTAAAAATCGTTAGCAACAGCCTGGCTAGGCTGATGCCGAACCTGGGAAGGACGAGCAGCAAAGCTCGCCGGCTCTACGCGGAGACGACAAACGCTGTAGCATTGTACGGGGCTCCAATCTGGGCCCCGGTGGCGGAGCGATCGGTCCGCATCAGGACGCAGCTGCGCCAGATGCAGAGGACAATTGCTCTGAGAGTGGCCAGGTGCTACAGCACAGTCTCACACGCGGCGGCGACCACCCTCGCGGGACTTCCCCCGCTGGAGCTCGCTGCCAGACAGCGCGCCAACGTATACGAGCGCGTGTCGAGACTGAAGGCGAGGGGGATCCAGTCCCGCCCCGCGTGCGTAGAGCAATAGGACTCCAGGAAAGACCGTCCTTGTCCGGCAATGGCAGGATTGGCTCGGCAACGCCGAGTGGGGACAGAGGACGGTCGACGCCATCCGGTTCCATCTAGCGGAATGGCTGGATGGACGGCGACTCGGAGTAACGTTCCACGCGGTGCAGGTGCTCACCGGGCACGGATGCTTCGGTGTGTACCTGCACCGCATCGGTAAGGAGGCCACGACACGATGCCACCACTGCGACGAGCAGAGGGACACGGCGCAGCACACGCTGGAGGAGTGTCCAGCGTGGGCTGAACAGCGCCGTGTCCTACAGGGAGAGGTGGGTCCAGACCTCTCCCTCCCGACCATAGTAGCGGCTATGGTCGGGGATCAAGAGAAATGGAGGGCCTTCACCAGATTTTCTGGATCGGTGATGGCCCGCAAAGAGGAAGACGAGCGAGTCCGCAGAAGGGAGGTGAACCCTCCTCCCTCACCAGTAGACTCCTCGTAAACAGATAAAACGCGGGGTGAAAACCCCGTGGCACTCTCTCCATTAAAAGGGAGATGCCAGTAGCCGTGAGAAAACGGCAAGAGAAGTTCAGGGAGGTTCGGTGACCCAGCGGGGATAATGGGACCCGAACAACCTCCCATCAAAAACGGGAGGAGGTGGTGTCACACCCCGTCACAATTTAGATAAAAGATCGGCCT